TTTCCCTACTTACTCTGTTCTCCCCCAGCATTAGAACAATTGTCCGATTATCCCACAGTTCATAACCTCCTACACAAATTTCCAATTCCTCCATTTCAATGAACGTTTTTGTAACATCTTGAACTGTCACAAACTCCAAGTTTAAAGCACAATATAAATTCAAGCCACATTCCCATTTAGAATTAATACCTCATTGCAGATGATGGTAGCTTTTGTTACTTAGAGAATCCAATGAGTCAAAGTTCTATATTTACTATGGTGATGTGGTTACATACAGCTGGGCAGTAACGTCACAACGCCTTCCCGCTCAGAAACCTCTCAGTGACAAAGTGGTGTTATGTCAGAAGCTGAAGCTGTATCTCAGCCATTTGCTGGAAAAGCCCTATTTACTCTTCTATACTTTCATATGCCAAGGCTCAAAAAAAGGTCTGCTATGCCACACAGTAATACATGTATTTAATGTTCAAGTATCAGATTTATGACACAGTAACAGAATTTATAATCTTTATAAATAAAGTGCCTTCCAAAATATTTTATAAACCTATCTTTTCAAAGACTTTTTGAAAAGAGCTTGAGTTTAGATATGTTAAAGCTCAGTGCAAAACAGGCTAAGAAAAATAACATCAAAAGGGACACGGTTGCTAAAACAGTCAATGTCATATAGGGGTTTTGAGATTCCTCCCATTAACAGTGTTTAAAAACAGTATAAACAACCAAAACAGTATCACACTACCGTCATTCAAAACAATACTGACCGCTTGTTAACATTATTTGCTGAATAAAAGTCACCCCCAATACCACCATTTTGACATTCGACATATAGCAGTCAAATGTCCATATTCTCTTCAATTAATGGTTTCAAAGGAATTTACTATATTTGTAGAATTAGATACTGTTCAGTTATAGTCATCCTATATGGACAACAATAAAACTTGCAGCTTGATTTGCTAGACTGTTGGGCTCTCCATATGCCTTCTAATGTATTTTTCCAACTCTTACTGTCTGTTTTGACAAGTTTAATTTGTTGTACCTATGAAATTGATATTTATCATCTGGTTTAGTAGCTTGCAATGTGGATACCATCATTCCTGAGGACAACACCTTGCAAAGAGACAACGGTCATTCTCATATTATAGGTTGCAAGTGTTATGTTTTGATGCCTGTTACTACTCCTGACCCAGAAGCACAACTGGCAACTGCCTTCATTGAATTTTCCCAGTTTGATCATTGGTTTGCAGCACCACCTGGTGTCAGTCACTTCATGCAATCAACCAAACTGTTGGTCAACCCAAGCTTGGGCATATAGAATCATAGACTAGTTAGGGTTGGAAAGGACCTTAAGATCATCTAGTTCCAACCCCCCTGCCATGAGCAGGGACACCACACACTAAACTAGGTCACCCAAGGCTCTGTCCAGCCTGGCCTTGAACACCTCCACGGTTGGAGCATTCACAACTTCCTTGGGCAACCTGTTCCAGTGCCTCACCACCCTCACTGTGAAGAACTTCTTCCTTATATTTAACCTAAAGTTCCCGTTTAAGTTTAACGCCATCACCCCTTGTCCTACCACTACAGTCCCTAATGAAGAGTCCCTCCCCAGCATCCTTGTAGGCTCCCTTCAGATATTGGAAGGCTGCTCTGAGGTCTCCACGCAGCCTTCTCTTCTCCAGGCTGAACAGTCCCAACTTTCTCAGCCTGTCTTCATACAGGAGGTGCTCCAGTCCTCTTATCCTCGTGGCCCTCCTCTGGACTTGCTCCAACAGCTCCATGTCCTTTTGATGTCGAGGACACGTATCAAATATCAAACATATCAAAACAAGACACCCACAGTGACTTGTCATGGTGATTTTTATGGTGTCACCAACTCTTTCATTTGCAGTACTCTGACCATCCTAGCCCACGACCCCAGACTTCACGCACTCAAACCAACTGCTCTAATGATACTTCCACCAGCACCTTTACGTCTCCTTCGCACAGGGTCCATAACCATCCTCATGTTCTCAAACTCAAAACACTCACAGCTAGCTATGAGGAAACAGAGGTACCACTCAATCCAATAAGTGGCTGCCCCTCAAGCCTGCAGCCAGCCAGCAAGGGGAGTCTCTTGTTCCCCCAGGAAGCCACAATGCAATGCCTGATAGACTTCTCAACACAGACATTTCAGCTTTAAGATACAGCATCTCTGTCTCTTGATGCTCTTATAAGAAAGGTTTTATTTGAGATACAGAGAACATCCAACCAACTTGCAGAATCCACAGGCTACTATATATAGTAAACTTCAGTGAGAACTGAGGCAGTTTGGAAACCATAAGGACTGATGCTATTTAAAGGAAACAGGAGTTTCTCTTTCAAAACAAATCTCAACAATAAAGGCAGACGGTGCAAGCCTGGGATCCAGAGTCACATTTTGCGAAACTGAAAACGTAGTCTTGTATTAAACCCTGGGAAAACCAAACCAAAACCACAAATCCCAGAAACAGAGTCAATACTACAAGGTTAGCTCAACTGACTTACAAAGTTACCCTGCGGATAGGAAGTGGTGCTGACAAAACCTTTAACGGAACAGGCGTAATTACAACCATAAGGATACTTTTACTACATGATCAAAAGGTGATTCTGGCAGTACTTTAGCCATTTTCCTTTTTCACACCACCTTTTCACACCCCCCGTCTTTTTCAGTATAGATTTTTAAATATTTTGTTCACTTAACATACCATGAAAAAGATTCAAAAGCTTGCTATGAAATCTGAGCTAAATAGTTAAGAAAGCAATGGATTTGGGATTTTTTTCCCCCCGTGTGGGTACTATACTAGTGTTAAAACAAACAAACTCATACCTGGAATATTTACAACCTGAGAAGGAAATGGTAGTATTTTTTCTATTTTAAGCACAGTAAGTTCTATAAGCAGCAGATTTTGCTGACATCAAAATAAATAGATCAATAAAACTGATTATCTTCCTAACTTAATTAACACTTTGCTTCTTCACTTGCCTATTTATAAGAATGAAACTTCCAAGGGAGGACTGAAAACATGTAAATTGGCTCTGACTTTACGCATAAAGAGTTAATTAAAATACAAATGAGAAATTACATAAAACTGTAAATACATTTTTCAGATTAAGTTATTCACACATGCTGAAATAAGCATTTCTTGGAAGAATTGTGAAAAAGGCATTAATGCTGAAAAATTGGGGGTGGAGGAAGAATAAAAATCAAAACCAAAAACACAGCCACTGCTCCCACCCCCAAACCTATTCCAAAAAGAAATTCACAGTACAATTTAAATCAGTTTTGTTCTGCAGAGGATTCCTTCAGCGAAGGTGCATTCAGCTCTTATATTTGCAAAGAAAGAGGTCTTAATGGCACTACCTTTTGGAAAGTCTTCCATTTAATTTAGTCAACATATTTCGCTTTTAAATCCTACTCTAAGATTTAAAAACCAAAACAAAACTCACCCACAAAACAAACAAAAAAGCTAAAAGGAAGGTTCTTTAATTCTCACTGAAATAAAGCTCTCAGCTGTCTGGTTAAAAACTTGGGCAACAGAACAAGAAAAGATGTATTCTACCCATCTTAAAATTATCATGTACTTTTGTGAGGTACCTCATAGGTAGTTCCATAGTGGCACGTATACTGGCATTGTCTGTTGGTCTCTGCATCTTGTTCAACATTAGTGTAAAAAATGACTCCGTCTCCAGAACAAGATACAATCTGCTTGTCATTGGTGCACGGTAAGAATTTTGCACTAAAAATATTGGCCCTGTGTCCTGAGCGAATGGTTGTTAAAACCTAAGGAAGAAAGAAAAAGGAATGCTGTATCAGGTTAATATTTTCAAAGCAAAAAACAAGTGGGAAAATAATACAGATGCAGGTACTATAGAACATCAAGACTGTACAGGCTGCCAGTAATCTACAGTTTAATACAAAAGAACAGAGAAGCTGGTTTTGTACCAAATTTCTTCTAGGAATAAAGTGGTTCTACAAGAGACATTCACTTCTGCACTTGCACAAAGTAGTCTGCAAAATGAAAGGACTGGAATGCAACTGCCACTTGTTATAAAATGCTAGTTACATGTCACATCAGGTTTTTTCCAACTAAAACATTGGTCCAGAGTGATACTGCAGCCAGCCAGCATGTCAATGAGGAGAGATTTAGAAGATCTGAAATATCATGGGTCAGGAAAATAAGGCATTGTAATCCAAGCCGACTTTATAGAGGTTAAAATTTGATGGTACTTTTAAAATAAACTTACTTTAAGAAAGGGAACTGAAATTTATAAGAAAGGATGCTTCGAAACCAATCAAAATTAAATAAGCATTTAAGTACATGGTTACAGGGCAATAAACTAAGACTAAACTTAGTCTCATAAGTGTAATTCATTTACAGTACAGCAGAGAAGCATCTAATTTACTTCATCATCATAGTTGGTTTTAAATGCTTTGTGATGTTTCGTTATGTTTCCTAACATACTTCTTCCTAGTCTATCAAAACTGAAAAAACCCCTTTCAGTGTACTAGTGAACATTCTCTTGTTACCTTATTTCTCCCATCTGCAACATTTAAACCAAATTGTATTTTCACCACTAATAGGAAAAAGATAACCAAATTGTTTACAGTATGAAAATTACTTCCAAATTCCCACTCAATTAAAAGAAAACATTATGCAAACGAAATTTCTCTGTCAGTGAAAGCTTATGCCTGGTATTTCACAAGTGCTATTTCACACCTTTTCAGCAATTCACACACATAGATGCACAAAAAAAAGATTAACAGTCTATCTACATAACCTGAAATATACACAAGAGAAAAGCTGGTAGAGCTTTAGCTCCAGTCAAACCACAGCTCTTCAGGAAGACAAAATTTTGTTGCCTTCATAACTTTGTATTCAAACTCTCTTCCACCATCCCAACCACATAGTTTGATCTCTCCCTCCCCGCCCGATTTAGTTTCTCAGCACATCTTCCAAGGTTTAGTTTTCAACCTCTCAAAGCGTGGGAGAGAGGGCTTCACTTGAACCTTGCTGCACAGCATCCCCAGCACTGAAGGGCACAGTTCAGAGCATCTGTTCTATCACACTATCGGCAGTTCCTTAAAGAGCAAAGTGTGGAACACTGCTACTGTGTGATGGATGCTAGCTGACGTTACTGGAAGCTGTTCAACTGCATCATAACCCATGTGAGTGCAGAAGTGGAAAAGCAGAGACCTTTACAGTACTTTTCCCTTCATAAGCCTGATTCCACTATTCCAGTTCAAATTCTCTCCAGACATGCACATGGCAATGTAATTTCAAATGGTAATGAAGTATTTTAATCAAGAGTGTCACTTCAATATTACACAGAAAAACAACACAGTATATTACATACAGCAAAAGCTAAAACAATATTTTAAAACTAAAATGAAACAGAAAACTATTTATCTGACTATAAGATTTCACAAGAATTACTGAATGCTATTGCTAATACTGACACTAATCTGTTGTGAGACCATGTCCCCTTTGTGCCAGACCACGTACCATAAAATGGGATAATACCTATGTCACAAGGGATTAGAATACTAAGGCTTTAAAGCACTGTGAAGGTTTATTCCAACTTATAAACACTACAAAGTGCCTGATATTAGTTGTTATCTGAGCTCCAAAACATCTGAAAAATACCTTGAAAATACCTTGAAAAAAGTCTCAATATCTTGAAAAATAATCTTATTTGAAAACTGCTGACTACCCAGGAACAAACCTACCTTTCTGCTGTAGGGATTACTAATTACCAGATTGGTGTCATCCGAACCAGACAAAATATATTCTCCTGTATCATTCCAGCAAATTGTGTTCACCTGTGTGAATGAACAACAAGTTAGTTTAGACTTACATTAATTTGATTTTCAGAATATTAAATCAATACCCATCCAACACTACATAACTAGGAGTTCACAAATTCAATTGAAATGAGGTTGTTTCTAAGCAGCTAGCACAAAATAAATAAATAAACAAATAAATAAAATAATTGTGTGGTTTCAAAACAAATTGATAAGGGAATCAATCGCCTGCTTCACCTATGGCATCTCAATACTCCCACTGCACCTGAGGAGTCCAACAGGTAAATTAAGCTATTAAGCTTTCCCACAAAGGCCTCAGTAGCCAAAATTTTACACATTCAGGTGTTTCAATGTTCCAAATCTAGTCCACAGAGTTCTCCAAATTTGAACTGGAGGGCATCACAATGCTCTCGTTATTGTATCTTCACCATATCCAGATTGTGACCATCCATTACTTTGTATACTTTTCAGTGACCACACCTTCTCAGGGATCACCTGAAAAGCACTGCAGAATCCATCCCAGATCCCTTTTGAGAAGTGTATGCCAGGAAAGAAGAATCCTATAGAGAGGTAGAGAATTGCATGGGGAGAACTTTACAATATATTTCCTTATCAATTCTCCTTTTCACAAGACTGTGTTTAATAACGTGTCAATGAAATAAAGCTGTGAAAGCACTCAAAATCCAGGAAGCTCAGAAAGTTTCCTTAGAGTAAGGTGAGTTCAAGCAGCAGCTCATGCACAAGCACCAAAGACTGCATGCATGACCATTATTGTTTCAAGTAGCCTCTAAAATAGCTTTAAGTGTCAAACTGCAGCCATCAACATCTTCTGTTGGCTATATTCTGTTGGCAGGGTAAGTGCCTCAGTGCAATGTATCAGAGTGAACCACATAATTAGTTAATATCCCACTTCGTTCTAAATCCTTTGCTTATGCTTTTAATTCAGATGTCTCACTCTGAGCCCAAAAGACAAAAATCTTTTTGTTTAAAATAAATACACCCATTTTAGTTACTATTTTAATCACAAGTTTAGTCAGGGTCCTTAACTAGGCAAAGTTGCAAAATCAGAATTAGCTGTTTCAGGTAGATCATATGGGCAACATCTTGACATACTCATTGGGAGCTTTAAGAGAGATCTTTGTGTTACAACAGATATGCCTATGGCAGAGTTAGCTCAGTGCTCAGCAGCAGTCAAATAGTATTAGGAAACACTAGGAAATGCACAGAAAAGCAAACGTCATTCTGTCAGTGTATACATCCATGCATGGCAAATGTCTGTCTTCCACACTCTGCAGTTTTGGTTCATATCCCGCTCCCACATTCTCCATTTCTATTACTGCTCATGTGAAAAGAGAAATTACAAAAACAAATTACTAGGATGATCACAGATATCAAACACTTTTTCCTGCAGGAAGCAATTAATTTGTACTACTCCAGGGAGGGGATATGACAGAAGTGCATGAAATCACAAATGACATGGAAAAAGAAACATTTTCTGTGGATCTTTACAGTACAGGAAATGGAAGGCCTTCAATAAAACCATCACGTGGCATTTTAATAAAACTGGAATTCATTGTCATGGAATGTCCTAAACACCAGGAGTGGGGAAAAAAA